TATAGCGGCAATGAACCCTCGATATTCGGGTCTCAAACCATGGATAATTATTCTCTTCATCTTGGTTTCCCCAATAGGAGCTGTTGGATCTAATTCTGAAATTTCGCGGCATATCGACTTCACCTTGTGAAAGTACTAGACAATCGTCATGTCGCGTTGTACCATCGATAGCAGCTCATTCTCGAGAAGTTGCAATTTTGTATCGTTCCTCTTCGAAAAGAGTGTAACAAAAGTGTCCCATGCTTCCTTTGGCGTTTTAGCATCCCGAATGTGCTCCAACATTTCTTCTTCTATTGTGGTCTTTAAAGCAAACATTGATTTGCCTGCTTTAATTTTCCACTTCCGCAAGACGCCGTTAGCATCTTCCGCTGCCGGTTGTGTAACTTCACTACCACCGACAACCTCCCACAAGTCTTGACCTTGAAGGTAAGACTCTATACACGTTGCCCACGTGTTATAGTTTTGGTTGTTGAGCTTCTTGATTCCTCCAACAACTTGAAGATCACCCATCGTATCGGCAAGACTTTGACTACACCGAACAAGCTTGAGTGACTACCGTGCAGAGTAATACACTACTCTCGACACAAAGAAGCTCCCTCTCAAGGTTTGTGATAACCCCAGCAATAATCTCAAGAAATCTTTTTTGATGTGGAAGATTAGTCAAAACTGCAACCACAGAGCATACTCGGAATTTCAAGAGACTTTACAACCAATGCTCTACCAAGAACGATCCCTGACCGACTTGGCTCTGATACCAATTGTTGAATAAGAAGAGTATCCAAGATAACTCTAATGATCCCAAGAAGAAGAAAATAGAGCACACTCTTAAAGAAAGCTCACAAAACAAACTAATTAGCAAAGCTTTTCTTATTTAGCTCTAGGCTCTGTTTTTCCTTGGATGATATACAATGCTTGGGGACTTGGGTATTTATAGCAAACCAAATGAAAGCTACACCACACACTTAATTAAACTAAGATTATTTACTACCACACAAAACTCATTAATTGCACCTAATTTTTTTCACTCAACCATACCTAACATTGCCTAACTTTGCAATTGTAAGCAATTACATCATCAAACTAGATATGGACTTGGACTTTAGATTGGGTTGTGGATTACTTATGGTTTTGGGCTGACATTAATTCTCAACAACGTCTCGTCCAGAAACTTCTGCGGAAACCCTTTTAATTGTGATCAATGGAGATGAATTGGGTCGTCCAGCCACACTCGATTCAGATGATATTTGTTGATCAAACGTTTTTCGATACAAAGAAAGAAGATGGAGCTCCAAATGCACAACTTGTTCCTCTAACACTGCAATTTCCTTAATGAGGCCCGTGGTAGACTGAGTCAACGAAAAGAAAAGGAAAATCAACTGATTATCTCAAAAAACAGCACTAATTCTAAAGAATCATGACAGAAAAAATCATTTATTTGCCTAATTTTCTAAAGAGTAATTATCATATTAGTATCTAAGTTAACAATTTAGAACTTGTTCTTTCATCTTGATTGGTTTTACATCTCCGAATTCTTTAGGAAACATATAAATATTATGACATCAGAATTTCACACAAGGGGAGACTCAGAATCGGAGGCGGCACACCTGAACTGATAAATTGCATCTAAGACACATTACAGCCTACCTTAGGGAGTGGGTTTTCAGTTGTAGCATCAGGTGATAACGGGCGATAACTCAATGCCTTCTCCAAAGCATGGCGTGCCAAAATTGGTCCTGTAATTGTTTTCTAAGATCCAAAATCTGCAAAAGAAGGAAATTGTAAATCATTGGATGCACATACATATCTTTCTACACATATTTATTTAATTTAAAGAATATCTTACTTGTATAAGGTGAAATATTTGTCTTTGTCTCCTGACTTAAACAAGTTTTAACGTCAAAATTCATAGTTTCAAAATATCTTCCCATTTCATTCTATGAAACAAAACAGGATTAAGAGATTTTTTTTTTACCACAGAATCTGACATTTTGTCCTAGTGAGACACCCTAGTGGAAAAGCAAAAATTCTAAAATAAACAAATAAATAAAACATTAAAAATAACCTCTTACCGTTTTCAATCTGTCAGGAGCTTGGAGGGTTTTATTCACTTCACCTTTCTCAAGTTTTCTTTTTACTGGTTCACTGCCAGTAAAGAAAAGTTGTTAGAATCTATCTATGCTATCAAGAGAATCCTTTTTGTCAAATTTTTATCACTTTTTTTTTTCAATTTTGCCCTTACTTTTGTGATATAAAATGTTGGTACGAGGAGGGCAAAATAATTATTTTGTATCTTTTGAATCATCTTTCCTTTTTTTATTTATTTATTTATTTTTATTTTGCCTTTACTTTTGATATACAATATTTACATAAGAAGAGCAAAATAGTAATTTTGTATCAAAATATTTACATAAGATAAAAAATATGCACTTATTAAGAGAAATTGTCCCATCATTATTTTTTCATACACGTAAGTGAAATCATGATGTTTTTTGAATAGTTCGAATGAACTAAAGCAGTTGCGTTTAAGGAGAACGTGAGAGGAGGTGGATGGTTGAAGAGGATTTAATTTTGTACCTTTTGTAAAATTACAATCATATACCTATTTTTCCTATGACAAAACAGCAATTATATAATATTAAGAAAAAATATAAACTTATTAAGATAAATTGTCTTATCATCATTATCTCATACTCTTTTTAAAATTTTAAAAATTAATCACCCTCCTTAATCACTAACAAAAACTAAAAATGAAATTGTTCACACACAGTGTGTGCGCACTCCACTAGTACGGAATGAAGAAAATTGAGATCCTTTGATAACCGTTTCATTTAGAGTTTTCAGTTTTCTTTTAACTGGATTCTCACTCCTGGAAAAAACCCAGTTCATTTTTTGAGAGAAATTGCATGTCCAATTGGAAAAATTACCAAAAAAACTTATGGAAATTGCCTGCAGAAAAGGCCTGAAATATGAACTTATATGGTGAAACAATTATTTTCCTGTCATCTTTTTGCAGTTAAAACAATTTGACCGGTATCTATATTGCAGAAGAAGGAAATGGTCAACTAAAATTGGAATTCAAAAAATGGTAAGAAAAATAGAGAAGAAAATGGAAAACTACCTGTTGGAACGATTGTGTTTTGAAACTCCCTCTACGAATTTGAACAGCTTCCGATTACTATCACCCTCCCACTTTTCTTACCGCATAATAAGATCAAAACTTTGCTTGTCCACTTCCAAAAAATCACTAAAACGGCATTAAATGCAGAAGAAGCCACACTTTGAGAAATCTACAAGTACCTGAACAGAAAAAAAAAAACACAGCTGCCGAGATAAACATCCAAAAAAACATATAAAATGTGAAACAGTATAAACCCTGATGGGAGGAAATAGAAAACACAGTGAAAGACTAGAGTGAGACTACTCACACAAATGGGGTTAGTGGAAAGCTGAATTTGTTAATATGTGTCTAGCTAGCTGTATTCATTTCGTATCCAAGAAAATCTACTTATTGACTCTCAGCTATGGAGGATCTGATCTAACTATAAATAGTTGTGCAATGATAAATGTGAAGTGATTGATTTATATATTATATTATTTACAATTGAGATGATTTTCGACTTGTTTTAGCCACTTCCTTTTTTTTTTTTTTTTTTTTTTTGCCATCAAATTGAATGAACGAAATAATAACTAAATTAAACAAATGCGTAAGAAACTACAACTAGCGTGGGTTTATCATTTTTCTTGTTAAGATAGAGCTCCAAAGGGTTGTTTTGATAGTCCATTGTCTAGATTTGGCATTCGTGTCGTGTTTTTCGTGTTTGTATCGTTTTCGTGTCATACCCGATATTTTAACGGGTCGTGTCGTGTAACATCCGTTAAAATAAACAGGTAAAATGACCCAACCCGATAATATTAACAGGTAATATGACCCGTTAAGGAAAATATATTTTAAACCAATAAATAATCAAATGAAAAATATAATATTAAATAAGTATATACATATCATATTGTCACATCCAAAGCATAAAAACACACTTTTCTTTTAAGTATATATTTACATACCCAAAACAAGAGTATAATTAAAAAAACATTAGAAAATTACAAAATATTAAATGTTCAAAAGATTTGCAAAATTAAGAACATTGAAACATTAGAAAATTGGAACCTCGCACGTTTTCTTCCAATCAAACCCTTCAATTTTCCTCAATCACCATGGGAAATAGTACTTGAACTTTGGCTTGATATATTATCTTCAAGAGTTATATTGATGATGTTTTCAATGAGGCTTTCCACATTAGCACTCTCTTTAGCATAAACTAAACATAGAAAAATCAAACATTGTTGCGGGAGCGAAAATATAACTATAGATATATTGATGATGTTTTCAATGAGGCTTTCCACATTAGCACTCTCTTTAGCATAAACTAAACATAGAAAAATCAAACATTGTTGCGGGAGCGAAAATATAACTATAGATTATGTTTTTAACATGTAAATACGCAAAGAGAGTTATAAATACTAAACAGAAATTGGATTTATCAAAATCAATTTGAACGTATGATAAAAGTCCCTATGACAGTATCAAAGCAACTATAATCACAAAGAAGTTGAGAGATTACTTTCTGATTATCAAAACCACTACTGGATTTATGCAGACACAAAATCTCACAATTTTATTACCACGACTTTATGCATAATAGGAACAACACCACAATCATCTGCCTACCAGAAATTAACTCTTCTACAGCAGCAAGTTTAACATTATAATAAATTGAAAATATCAACTTTATGGTAAAGATATAAAACACTTATAGGCTTGCTCAGAGCAAAAGCTTTGAAAGGCTTGTCAACGTCCTCTAAGGTAGTTGTTTCGTTAAGCGAAACAGTGATCTGAAAGGAGTTTAACATTCAGTAACCTTATGAAGTAAAAGCACTCCATCCTATGTCCTCAGAGAACATTTAGTGAAATAACTTATGCAAGAGACTCACAAAATAAAAATAAAAAACTTATAGTGCTCGAGTCTACTACTCTCAAATTTAATCCAAGCTTGTTAGCAGCATCCGAAATTGCATGTGCATCAGCAACCTTAACCTTCACAGTGTCAAAGAAGGCAAGGCTCTGAACTTCCACAGTTCCAAGTTTCTTCAGTCCGACTGCAAATGCTTGCCACAGAACAATTAATATGAATAAATGTTGACAGAAATTGATAGTAACTTAATATCCCCAAAAAAGTAATGAGAAAGTATGAAAATCAACCCCAAGGTGATGCACAATCAGAGATTCAAAAATGCCAGACAGAATGATAGCAACAAATTTAAAAGATTAAAAAGAAGACAACCAACCAACCTTTGAACGAAGAACACATAGACAGAAACATAAAATTAATAACAAATCAGGAAAAATGAAGAACTTAAAAAATGGAGAAAGGAGATGCAGAGATGTAGAGACAAAATCGAACCTGGAGTGGAATCTGGAGATGCAGAGATGCAGAGATGTAGAGACGACCAGAGATGACAACGATGATTCCGTCCACTGCATGAGCGAGGAGAAAAGAGAGACTGAGAGAGGCTACCAGAAGAACTAATCATACGGCGGGAGAGAAGGGCTAGGAAAAACAGACGGCGGGGTCAAGGGAGAGGGTTACAAGAGTGGGGAGAGAGAAAGGAATTAGGGCTTTTGTTCTGATCAAATGGTAAAATTGGAAAATAATGGAATAGAGAAGGGGTTTTTTCGTCCAAAATAGTTCTAATAATATAAGTGAAATAGAATCCAACGGTACAGATTTACTCTCATTTATCTTACAGTTGTTATTTAAGTAAAGTCTTTAATAGTTTTTTAATTAATGTAGAAGTGTAAAAAATATAGAAAAAAATATATAAACGCTTGTAATGACAAGCTTTACAACTTTCATGAAGAGCTTAACTTCGAAATTCGCCAATATAATCATATAAATCATAAATCAAAATTTAACTGTTGATTATTGTTTACATTTACGCTTCATTTTTCTCATCAAATTTTGTTTTTTCGGATTTTCTGTTTTGAAAACATGATCTATCAGAGGATGTAGGAAGATGAATGGTTTGGATCGTTGATATTATGTTCAGAGTTTTATGGTTAGTGAAAATATTGCTTGATGCTTATAAAGTTTCTACAAACTATATGACATCGACTCATATTTCAGTTAACTGTAAATATCGAAATGTGATATCAAAGATCTGAACCGTTCATCTTCTTACACCCACCAGACGATCATGTTTTCAAAAAAGAAAATTTTAAAAATGAAATTCAGTAAGAAGAGTAAAGTGTAAATAACAATCGACGGTTAAATATAAATTTAAGGTTTATGGATTATAGTGTTGGATTTCGAAGCTGACGCCTTCATGAAAGTTGTAAAGCTTGTCATTATGAGTGATTGTATATATATATATATTTTTTTTTTTTTTTTTTTACATTTTTTAAACTTCTACAATAATTATTATTAATTTTACCCTCAAATAAAAAACATTATTCATGAGGGTTTGAAGGATTTTAAAAATCTAAACAATAATGTAAGTATAATAATTATCTACTCATGGAGGAATAATGATGTATCACGAGTGTTTATATATTCTTTCACATTTTCTAAACTTGTATGTATGTCTTCTTAGTTCTTACCTATAGAAATACAATACTAGTTTATTTTAATTTTGGACAACAACATGTTAAGTAAAATTTATCCTAGTAATGATAATAAGGATTTCTCATAATAAAAATAAATAATGAACTAAAACTTTTTTTTTTAACTTATATAGAATAATAATACAAAACTATATATTTAATATAGAATATATTGTATATATTAATATGGCTATTGTATTTTATAATAAATCTTTTAGTAATTAAACTTTAAAATTATCAAAATAATTTTTTTTAACGGGTTATCCACGTGTATACCCGTTAAGAACCTGTTATTAATGGGTTCTTAACGGGTCACCCAATAATGACTCGATTAATTATCGTGTTGATCCGAAACCCATTATTTTCGTGTCGTGTCAGAAACTGCTGGATCTACTTGTCATAGAAAGCTACGTTTTAGAAAGCTTTGGCAATGGTGGGCTTTTTGCATTGCATTAAAAGAAGTAAATATTTATCTCATGGCTTTTAATTTAAGATGACGTGCAAAAGTTAGGGAAGAAAATAAATGGTAAGGTTAGGGAAATTAAAATTTTAAATTAAATTATGGGAGTCAAATGTTGTGGTGGTTGATAATTGAATTATTAATTATGTGTCAGTTAACGTGCTTATTTCTGATTTGTAACACATCATTTGATTTTCAAATTTGGTTTAAAAATTTAGTCTCTCATTATCCAAAGAAAAATCTTCACCATTCACAAAGGAACAAAGGGGGCAAAGAAGTACCCTTGCTTTTATTTTATTTACCATAGGTGTTATTGAGGAATTAGGGAATCAAACACAGGAGAATTCATATTGTAGTAGTCTAGTAGA